GATTAATTTATTATACATTGGTTTATTAGAGATATATAAATATCTTTAAAATTTTCTTGTTAATTTAACAAGTATCTCAAAAGAATAAATATTAATGAAAAAATTCCTTGAAATTCTACATAGAATCCTACGATGTTAATTAATTTAAGTCTCTCAAAGTAAATAAAATTATTATAATTTAAAAATGTCCCCTAACCTATATCGAATCTACCTTATTTTAATGAATTGTTTATGTAAGGATAGCTTATATTGCTTTTTAGTGTTATTGAGTTGTGATCCAGGATTTGTTTGTGATAGTTCTTGCAAAACAAGTCTAAATTCTAGTAGTGCTTGTTCATCAAGTGATGCTGGATTCTGCTTGTGTTAATTGACAATAATTAAATAGCAGACAATTTTTAATGTGTTTGCAATGATGGATATTATAGAGATGGATCAAATTAATGTTAGCAATGCACAGCATCATGTTCAAAATGTGAGAATAATCCATATGGTTGTACCGAATGTATCTCTACTTTTACATTAAGTTAGGATATTCAATATAAATGTGAATGCTAATATGGCTATTTTTAGGTTGATTCTCATACATATTAATAATGTGTAAGTCCATGTTAAACTTGTGAATCAAATTAGAATTATTGTTTATCATGTGTTGATAGTAATTAAATAGTAAATGATTTTCATAAATGTGTATGTAAAATAGATAGTGTTGTTAATATTGACGGTTTCACACGCAACAAATGTTAATTACCATATGTTAGTTGTTTATAACTATAAATAAACGTGTCACTTGTTTAAATCTATTATATTAATAATCTGAATCTTGTAAATGTGAATCTAGATGGATATTTGATGATAATTACTTCTGCATACCTTGAATAGAACCATGTAAAACTTGTGAGATATCTACAGCTAAATGTTCTACCTTTAGGGATCCTCATCAAGAACTTAATAGCTTAAAATAATGTGTTTACAAATCTACATATTATTCTGATACTCTAAACGCCTGTGCAAAGTGTTCAGAACTTGTTAAGAATGTGATGCAAATGGCTGTCTTAGTTGTTAAATTTCAGAAGAGATGGAAGGTCATCTATTTGCCAGATAGAGAATTCATATTAATGTAGAAATTTCGAGAACTCATTAAGTTTATGTGCTTTTGTTGTAGCTCCTGAAATTAATTTGAATATTCTTTCTAATAATTAACGCTATTTCCTAGACCCTTTTTTAATAGATCACCACTTTAATTCCTTTGTACAAGATACTTAAATAATTCATAATAGTTGGATTTACTTTTTTAAAACAATACAAGATTCTTGAAATTTATGATAGCTCTTTTATTTTGGTAACGAAGATCATGCAATTTCTAACTTCAATTAGGATGCTACAATGAAATCTATTTAGGTTATACCTCAGCTAATATCACCCCTCATTAATTGAGTTATGCTATTTTGCAAATTCCATAAATTGTGCCATCTTGGAATAGGGGGGCATTGTTTAGGAGGAAGGAAAATCTTGCATATTTAGTAATTGGTATAT